TTGGGAATGCGAACGCCCTGTTCTCTCAGGGGAACAAGGGCTGCCGCAGCAAATTATGTGAAGACACGGGGCGACAGGGATAGCCCGGAGGGCAGGACCTCGTACTGATATGCTCGTCCTTCGAACGCGAACTGCAGAAATGGTCTGTGGCGCGGAAGGATCGACACATGAAAGTACGCATCATTCAGGTCGATCGCTGCAAACCAATCTCGGGGACGCATGCACCCGAAGATGCGTTTCTGCATCAACATCTTGAACAGTAACCGGCGAAGTGCCCGTTTCAAGACACGCAGATCCAAGATTGGTCGTAACCCACCAGTAGGACTGCGATCTCTGCACGCAAGACAGGAGCATCGGCCGCTTCACGATGCCACTGAACTTGGGGGGATACCGGGTGAACTGAATCGCATAGCCGAGGCTGATGGTCCACTGAAGCCAACGAGATGGTTTGGGTAGCGCTAGCCAGGCACCCAGATACCGTGCAAGCGGGACCAGCGGAACCACCGCCGTACCAGCAGTGGGGCAGCAAGGTGGAACGCAGAGACCCAACTCAGCCGGCTTGTGAGCGGACCGAAAGAGGGGTCTGAGTGTGCGGTGCAACACTTACCTGGTTCCACAGTTTGGCAGAGGGTGCGTGAGTAGGGCCTGTGTTGACTCTCTCGAACCGCCCGCTGCTGCCTGCTGGCGATGGAGGAGGATGAGTGTGGTCCGGTGCTGGTCCGTCCGCGACTCTCTGCCCTCCTGGGACCCAGGGACAGAGAAAACCGCTCTCTCATTGAGATTTTCCAGATTCTCCACCCGGCCCTCCTCCGGGGGAGGGAGAGGTGCCTTCACCATCCCCCAAAGAGCAGCTTCCTCCCTCTCTGGGTTGCCTGTCCCGGGACCTCTTGCTCTCACCGCCAGGGGACCTGGACGGGTGGGGCAGCCTGCCTACGCCCAGCTCCTCTTGCTCTTTCGCTCACCACCATGTTTGACAGGGGCCTGGACGGGTGGGGCGGCCTGCCTACGCCAAGCTCCACGGCGCCACTTGCTGGAGGCTGCTGCGGATGTGGCGTGGGAGCAGGGGCGGACGCAGGGGGCCGCCCTCGGCGACGAGCAGGCTGGGGTGCTGCGGACGGGTGGAGGGTGTGACGAATCGCCTCAGTCTGCTTCTGTGCGGCCGAGAGCTGCTGGGCCAAGCTCTCGACCGCGTCGCCGAAGAGGTCTGTCTGGGACACAGGGGCATTAACCTCCTGGGGTCGACAGTTCTGCCAGCGGAACTTTTTGCAGATTTGAATGATGACAGCGAAAAGAACTAAAATGCTCCTCCATACTTGACCGTACATATAAGAGTAGTACAGCATTTAAATCTGTAAAGGGTCTACTTTTATTTGTGTACACTCACAATATCAACAAAACATTGTGCTTTTGCAAAATAAAGAAAATAAACAGGGTGTGCTTTTAGCCGTCTCATTCTCCGCGCATATCTGTTTGAAACGCGTCACTAAAATGAACTGAAACTCAGCGAATATTTGACACACACACGAGAGATATATCTATAGAAAGCTTAACATGTCTACTTTAAACGAAGTAAGTCATGACGAAAAGACAAAGTAATCAGTATGAAACCAATGTGATGTCAAGTCTTGGCCGTCGCCTTCATTATCGCTAATGTGACCACGCCCACGCGCCGATCGCGCTTTTGTTATTACAATAGTCCACGTGAAACACGCGCATGTAAACGCCCACATCACAGCAAACACAGCAGCCAGACTTTCCCTCAAGTTCATCTCGGCTACTTCGCTTCTGGAAGAAGACGCGCTGAGAGAAATAAGCTTTGGATTTTCCTCAGAAGAACGCGCCGGCGTGATATTCAGTGGAGGATATAGTAAGTCTTTTTTTATTTGCCTACTTGCATTAGTTGCTATTGTGTTACTGTGACATAACTTGTACATATTTTACTAGTTACTTTTTCCAAACCACGATTCCTGACTAAATGTACAATCAAGTGAAACATTATGAAGATTCATTCACTGCATATATGTCTCACAACGCCAGGAAGTTTTTTTTATGTTCTATAAAATAGACAGCAACGATATAAAAGTAATGTGAGTTATAATGTTAATATGTTGAATGTTTTATACTCGGGTCATGGGCGTCCGCGATCGTCTGATGTGTAAACGTATCAAGTAAGCTGTAAATAAGTGATGCATCGACAGACATATACGCACGTCCTTTCTTATCAGTGATGCAATTTATTTATCAGCTATGCATCTTCTGGTAATTGCTAACAACTGTTTAAATTTTCGTTTAGGACTGTGGCTGCATCACTCGCATAATTGCACAAGAAAGGCACACGTGTCGTTCAGTTTTGAGTTCGCTGGAAAATCATACTGAGTAAGTGCACAGTATAGTAATTGTACTTTTATTATGCCTAGACTATATGGTAATATTATTTGTGGTTGATAGTGTTAAAATGTAGTTTCTTTGTTATTGGCATTCTGTTTTCTCATGAAGTATGCATACTATACTAAGGTACTGTGGGAAAAAATGCTTACAATTGTTTATAAAATTATTTTAGGACCGAATACACCACTCTTGCCTTCACCTGCATCTCTCACAGTAAGGGGACGCTCGTTCAGTTTTCAACTCCATTCAGAATCTTAGAGTAAGTGTGCATTCACTATTTTACAGATGTTACTTTCATTTGATGTATTTGCTCTATGGTACACTATTTTTGCTATGTGGTAATTGTGTTCTTTGTTTCGATAAATTAGTACTAGTATCAGTGAACATCATAATAATGTTAATAATGTAGTTTGTGTAAACAGCATGCTTGCTTTTTTATTTCAGATGTGAGAATAACAGTGTAAAAGAACCTGTTGCAAAGAGAGCCAAAGCAAAGCAGCCCACTTGGTCATGGAAATGGAGATTCCTGCCTGCACAAGAACCTGGACCACAGCTAAGACCATGTGATGCACACACTCCCATGAGTTATTTTATGTGATACTCTCGACCGCATCGCCGAAGAGGCCGGTCTGGGACACAGGGGCATTAAGGAACCGAACTTTGTCGGCGTCCCTCATATCAACCAGACACAGCCAGAGATGGCGCTCCTGGACCACAAGTGTGGACATCGCACAACCCAGAGAACTCGCGGTGACCTTCGTCGCTCAGAGCGCGAGGTCACTAGCGGTTCAGAGCTCTTTCAGAACTTCCGGATCATGACCACCCTCGTGTAGGTCCCTCAGTGCCTTGGCCTGATGAACCTGCAGTAATGACGTAGCGTGTAAGGCAGAGGCAGCTTCTCCACAGGCCGCATAAGCATCGCCGGACAGGCCAGACGAGTACCTACAGACCCGGGAGGGGAGGCACGGTTCGCCCTGCAGGGTGGAGGCGGTATTAGGACACAACTGCATCGCAACCGACCGCTCCACCAAGGGGACCCCCGTATACCCCCTAGCTGCCCCACGGTCAAGGGTGATGAGGGAGGAGGAACCAGCAGGTCGGTTTCCGGCAGTAAAAGGTGCCGTCCATGACCTGGTGAGCTCCTCATGCACCTCCGGGAAGAAAGGCACTGAGGCGGGGCGCTGAGAACCAGCGCGGACCACCCCGAGAAC